TGTTTCAAGAAATTTCTTAATTAATTAGTTCTCAAGTTCCAATCTGAAGAACAGAAAACCTACAAAAAAGAGCATTTGATTGGTGTTTTTAAACCTATACAAAATAGGTACCCGAAGATTTGTTTTCTTGCATTATTAAAAGAAAATCAACATCTGTTTTATATTTAAGGTTATAAATTTAAAAACTCACAGACAATTCAGGAACTTGAAATAACTGTTGATTCCTCTATGAGATCTCATTGCTTCAAAAAGTAAATATCCTCAGGATGTACATTTATAAGCTCCAAGTTAGATAGCAATTAACTTTTATTACAAGGCAATGTTCCATGCAGATTGCATCTCTGTTTCCCAAGCCACCATGGGCTAGATTAAAGGTACCTGTTTCAGGTTACCAGATCAATTCCAGTTTGGCTCTGAGGAAAGGTTCCCAAAAATTGTGCATAAAACACCTTTGCAGCTGAAATTCCCCAGAGAAATGAGATATTAAAATCCAGTGAGTATTTGTGAAATGGATATTTATCCTATGAGAACTAGACCAAGATCACAACATTTCCCAAAGCCACAAATACAACAGAATCCCTTTGAGTGCTGTGAAACGGGCGTATGGTCTGGAGTAGTATTTGATGGAGCTGTGCGGGTTGGGCTTTGCTTTTTTTTTTGTTTTGTTTTGAGGTGAAAGGGGTGAGGCAGAGGTAACAAAGCTCCTCCCATAAGAAACCTTGGTTTTTGTCCAGCCCCTGGTTGAGCAGACCTGCACAAGGAGGATGGAAATCTTCCGTGGCTTGATTGGTTTCAGGTGGAAAAGGTCAGTCAGATTCAGGAGTCAGAGCACTGGATATTTTCAGATAAACAGAGCCTGTAATTACAAACCACTTCCACAAGTTTAAGATTACTCACAGCTCTAAAATTGTACCTGTATTGAGAAGTAAACAGCTGCCAATATATTGTCCTCCTATTTCATAAAACCTACAAAATTTGAGTGTCTTTGCTTTGTAAGCACAACTAGAGATGTTTGGGAGGGATAAAGTACAAGGGTGGCTTTCTAAGTACCCTTTCCATTACTAGAAAAAACCCTCAAAAACTCTCAGAACTGTTGCTCAGACAAGTCTGCTTTCATGGGCATAGGATATAAATTGCTTTGATAACCATATTCATCCACTACCTTTATATTTTGAAGTATTCACTCTAACTTTAATTTTATTAATGTATTTCTTTTATCTTTCATCTGAATAGTGTTCTGTATGTAAAGTGACCAAATGTGATTAATGATGAATAGATTAAGATGGGACAGGGTGTTTGAAAAATGACTTAAGTAGTGCATGTAAGTCACTGGCTATAGTCCCAAAATGCAAATTCTGGTTAAGTTAATGACTGGAAAATCATGATGGCACTAGTGTATGAATTCTGCTTTATTTGAAATTGCTTTATAAACAATAAATAATTAGCATTTTACATTAGGACTAGTTAATAGTATCCCACATTTAATTATTTCTATAGGCACTGGTAATTTACAGTCAAAAGTATAAATATTGTTGACTTACACAATACAGTATTTTGCCAGAGTTTGTAACAGTTTTGCCTTGCAAATACCTTGCTGAAGTTCAGGTCCCATTAAGGGCTGATATTTTATTATAATGCCTGGAATTATGTTGCTTGCAATAAGCATGTCTGGTCTTTCTGCAAAGAAGCTTCTGAACATCCTTTAGGTTGGAATTTCGACGGGGAAAATTTGTTAATATGTTCACTCCTGCCAGACAAATGAGCATTATTGTCAATGTGGGTGCACATTTCCACTTATCCTTTTTGTAGCTGGAAAGCTTTATGAAAAATAAATTAATAATGCATACTAAATTATGTCTGCAAGAGACATTTATGTATATATTGCTAGCTTCAAGACTGATTAGATTTACATTTCTTTAAAAATGATTTTTTTTCTCGTACATTCATAATGCCTTTAGAATGCACTGCATGATAGAAAAATGCAATCTTGATTTCAATTGAATACCTGGGAGGAGTGTTTTTCCCCCCTATTAATATGTACATATGTTCCCCTAGAGTTTGAGTTATTTTTCCTAAAAGAGACTCTTCTCTTGAATCACCCCAGCCCAAATGTACGCCTTAGGATGCAAAAAGCAGTGAAGTAGATGTCCTATTATCATAACTTGAAAGAGGTCCATTTAATAACAGCCTGTATTAAACAAGAGTCTGCTAACTATACAGTAAAGACTGTTTTTCACCAGAGAACATAAACCATATGTTTTAAATGCAGCTAAAAATGGATGCAGTGTGCTATTTCCTTTCACCTCAGCCTGCAGTGTATTACTTAGATTTGCAAGGCATAGCCACCACTAGTACTTAACACTGCTGAAAGAGCCACCCTTCAAGGCTTTTTTAACCACAAAGAAAAGAGAAATATAGTAGCATCGATTGTTAAATCCTGGTGCTTGTTACTCACTGCCCGCACACAGAACATCATGCCTTTGTAGCAGTGAGGAGAGTTGGTATTTATCAGGGTTCAGAGCTAGTTCAGCCACACACTTGACAAATTATTTGTGGAATTGTTGTATTCACAGTCACTTAAATAAGAATCTGTCAACACAAGGCTGTGCTTTGTTGCAGCAGGTCTCACAGTTTTTCCTGCGCACTCAAAGAATGATGGATTGGAGGTAATGCAAATTCACTACCATTTTATATGCTGGTGCCTTCTTCATAGACAGGAAACATAGCTCAGTATCATCTTGTAAAATGCCTTAACTGTAAAGGCCTAGTTCAGTGTTGAAAGTGCTTTTTAAAAATGGTATGTTGGAACAGGGAAATGTAATTCAAATATTTTCCTCACGTCTCATTTTACAGACTGCTTGTTGGAGCAGGTGTGCGTTCAGATTTTCCCAGGCTAAGTAGGACATATGCTTATCTGTGCTTGGTAATTAAAACAAATTAATAAATACAATTATTTGATTTTATGGTAACTTAAAAGTTAATACTGCTTAAAGGCATGTTAAATTTAAAGAGCTCACACAGGAGGAAAAACATGCCCATTTTGGTAATTCAGTCTGCTTTGCTGATAGTAATGTTTTTTTTAGTAAATTCATATGTCCAACAAAAAAACGCCTATCTGAAAGCTCTGTAACCAACTCCAAAAGGTGCAGCTCACAGGTCAAACCCACAATCTTCTGACAGAAATAGCACTCACAATGCAAGGTAGAAAACCTTATCTGTGCTGGCATCTGTTTTTCAGGTTGATGTCCAAAACTGGAATGTTTGGAACTCCTGTCCAAAACCCACAGGAGCCCACCTAGAGCCTGGGACAGCACTGGGGAGGGATGTAGGGAGCTGGAGGCAGCCCTTGAGGATGTCAGAATGAATAAGGAGAAGTGATAGCAAGCACTGGATGAGACTTTTCTGGAACGTTCTCATCTCAGCAGAATAAATGGAGTTATGGGCTACTCAGGTTATATCCGTGCCTTTTTCTTTGTGGTTGTTCAGGAAAATTATCTTTCTGGAGTAGGAAAAAGCTTGTCTGTGGGGGAGAGGGCTTTCTCAGAGGCTCATTTCAAGTGTAAGGAATAAACTTGCCAGAAGTTAACACAAATCTCACCTTGTACTGTCACAAATTCAGAGTGTGTTTCTTTGATATAGGATAATAATGAGGGAATTCCACAACGTGTATATAAAAATGTTTTCCTAAAAATCAACCACAAATTTTGGAGACTGAACACATGAAAAATGTAGTTCACTTGGCTCAGTGCCCTAATGGGAGGCTCAGATCAATGCACTGTTGAAACCTTTGTAGATTATAACAGGTCCTAGTGAAGTCAGGGAATATATTTCCATACACTTCAGGGAGGCCAGATTTTAACCCCAGATACTCTGAGCCTTACAATCTGAGCAGACTCCATAAATTTCAGTGCATGTTTAAGATGCAAGCATTTAGATGAGCTGCACATCAGGGCTGAAGAAATCTGCCCTGGCACCCTGGCTGCTTTCTGGGTAGTCTGCTTTGACTTGCTCACTAATATTCTGTTATAGGGCCTCTACTTCTCTAGAACCATTAAACAATTTTGATTTTAATTTTATGCCCGCGAATGGTGTGAACAGGTAGCTCTGCAGGGCAGACCCCTGACTCCCTCCAATCACCAAGGCATCCCACTGAAGTGCAGAGCAGAGGCTGCTGCTCCTGCAGTACCTCTGCAGGGGCTATCAGCATTCACAGATGTATTTGGAAGCACTTGGATGGCTTCATTTCATTGAGAAATGCCTGTAATACAGCACTGTATAGAAATTAATCTGCTCTTATTAGCCTGGCAGAGATGTACAGGTGCCTCCTGCTGTACCTCCAGCCCTGGCCTGTGACAGCACTGTGGTACCTGCTGCAGGGACAGGGCTCTACTCACCTGGTGACTTGGGGCACAGTGACCACAGACACCCCCACGCTGGCTGGAGAGGTTGGCTGTGACATCTTTATCATCATCTCTTCAGCCTTGGGGGAGGCATCTGTTCAGCAGAGCCCCTGCAAGGGCTGTGCTCTGCAGCCTCCCAGAGTACCCAGACTTTATAGTATTTCTCCCAACAGCCTTTCAAAGCACTTGGAAGCTTGATGCAATTTCAAAGACTACAGATTGACTTACAGTATGGGATATAGTATTTTCACTTGCGCCTAAAAACGCTGTTGTGCGGCCAAAAATTCAATCGCCAAGAAATCACACATGGTTCACAACACAGCTCTTTGATAACATTAAAAGTATATGTAATATTTTGAAATCACTGGCCAATTATTTCTAATAGTTTCATGATAATTTATGTAGAGAATCTCTCTGTTGGATGTGTTCCTGCTTTGGTCTAAATGTATTTTTGAACACTCTGTCAAACATCCCCATTTGGCACCTATTTTGTTTCACTGAATTTCTTTAGTATGTCCAGATCTCTTGCCAATGTATTTGCAGAACATATTTTGACAGCTTTGTCACCAAATTTGTTACTTCTTGTGTTTGGAATGTGTACCAAAATTACAGATATTAATGTGTGTGTTTCCTTTTGGTATGGACTCAAGTGGATAATACCTTTGTCTTCTGCGGTGATGAATAAAGTAAAGTGAGTGATTTTTTTTTATTAATTTCACAACTTATTAAGATTTTGAAATTGCAAATGTGTCACAGATGAATTGGTTTGTTTTTGTTTGCAGCTAGAAGCATTCTGAGCGGAATACCCTTAAACTTTAAAGGGCTTTAAAGAGTGATACTACACTTCTTATTCGAGCTTTTTAATAGAAATTGTATGCATGTGAAAGAAGTAGCTTCTCCCTCACTTTGCACACATATACATATGTGTATATATATATATCTATAATTTGATTTCAATATGCTGGGATTAACTGAACAACTGAATTTCAATCTCTTGTGCTCTTTCATGAAATAGTCTTCCTATTGAGTTTGTTGGAGCTGAATGAAAATGGTCTATTTAAGGCTGATAATAATCTTTGCCATCGTGTTTTTCTTAATATGGTTTTTCTAGATTAAAAGCAATGACAAGATAATGCCTGTTAAAATCTAAAGGTCTTTGCTTTGTGGTTCTGCAGCCAGAAGGGTGGTGGTTGAGCCATCACATCACTTGTGACTCACAGAATATTCTGAGCTGGAAGGGACCCACAAGAATCATCAAGTCCAGCTCTTAAGTGAATGGCCCATGCAGGGATATTTTGACCCCACACGCTGGGTGTTATCAGCACTCTGCTCTAACCAGCTGAGCTGCTCTGGGGATGTTTCAGGCACACAGTCCCTGCAGCCCTGCTCTGGTCCTTTCCCATGGCCTGGCACAGCTGAGGGTCTTTACAGTCTCTGGGTGTGTGCAGACCAGGAGAGCACCACGGACCAGAATGAATGAGCCACATAACCATGATGGTTTTGCTGTTGTCCAGGGAAATAGGCTGGAAAGATTTAATGAATTAAGTCACCTATGACAGTGGAGGCTAAATGCATGTGGAGGACCTACATTGGAATTCAGTTTCAATAAGGCCATAGCTCCCGATTATTCATACCCTGATGTGGATAGTTTCGTTGTTGGAAACACTTTTAGTCACCCTTAAAGATAATCTCACACATGGAGCATGGTATGGGTCTGGGTGACAGCACTTTCTGAAATGTCAGGGTCCCCCAGGAACACTAGAAAACCTCTGCCTGCCTCTAAGGGCTGCTTTTTTGGGCCATTTCCTCAGTTCTTTAAAAGATGCTGCTCAGCTGGCACAGAGCTCTTTGATTTTTTGCCGCTGGCAGATTGGTTGTTTACTGTGCTGAGTAACACATATCAAATAGTAGATGAATCCTGAAACAGCTGGGTTTGTTGCTGATAGTACCTCTTCTTTCTATTTTTTGAAATGTAAGATTTGATCTTGAGATGTCAGGGGTCTTTCTGAATTGAGATATATCACCTTTTACACATATTTGATCAAAATTTGTAAGTAGCAACAAAAGAAACATTGATTACTGGAATTATACTGTATAAAAATGCAATTGTGAATCTAAAGTAGCTCTAGAATAAAATCCAGATTATTTTTCAGTGAAGACGGTCATATTACACCCTTTGAATCTGTACCTTAATTTCAGTTACTTCTGTATTTCTCTTTTCTAATTATTACTTCTATAAATAGAAAATAGATTTGAATTTTTTTTAATGAGGATTTTATCTAATGATTTACAAAGAATATGATATGTAATAAGAATGGAAAACATTTCCAATGCAGTTTAGGTTTTAGTTCTGATCCTCTGGTGCTATACAATAATGTCTGATTTTTTGAGCAATTTCTTCTGCTTTTCTGGACAAGCTGAGACGCAGACTACAATCAGGGCAGAGACATAGTCAGGGCATCAGAGGCTCTTCATCAAAAAGAAATTGTATTCAGCTGACAAAAGTAGGATATCTACTATGTCTGTACTAGTTATAGCATCTATACTGCATTTTTGGGTAAATTATTTGTCAAGTCTGAAGCTCAGCATCAGCAGGGCAGCAATCCTGTCCCAGCTGCTGGCATTTTCCAGAGAAAAAGGCCACAGAAAGAGTCTGATCATAACATACTTTTCTTGCCATTAGAGAAGAGAGTAACATAATAGCTGCTCTGCTAGATTCAGAATACAAAAAAAATTTCTACAAAATAGTGGGGGCCAGGGTAAGATGTGGAATAAGTTAAAATTATAAAGAACAGACTGACCTGCCATTGATTCAATTTTCTTTTTGGTTGGAAATTTTGCATCACAGAATATATATTTTGCTTGTCAGGTTTACTATTGACTTTCTTTGTTTCACTGAAATTCTGAAGTTTTGCTACTTGTTGAACTTTTTTGATGCAGTGATAACACAATATAAATCAAACGCCCTAATCCACACAAAGTAAATCATCAGCTCTTCTGCATAATTTTGTTTGAGTGTTAGTAGAAGACTAACTCTTCCAGACAACTTCTAACAGATTGCTAAATACGCAAATAATTTGCTTATTAGAGGTGATATTTATCAGAAAAACTCAGAAGAGTGTATGCAGTGAAATATATTTATGGCCATATGAAAAATGAGGTGACCTGTTGGAGGCAGCCTGTGGCTCCTGAGGAGCAACAAAATGCTTAGGAAGGTTCCACAAAACACATGAGATTATTGTGTATATATAAGAAGTAATAATGTCATCTGTTTTTTTTCTGTTTCCTGTTGATTGACTTTTATAGCTTGCAAGCATTATGCTGGATGGTAAATTGCAATAAATTTAATCAAGAATTATTTTATTCAGCCTACTAATGAGGAATAATAGCGTATGTATCAATTAGACATGTCAATTTGTGTGAAGAAATAGATTTACAAAGGGATAGTAGGTAAAAAAAATATCATTGGTATCAATTCACTTCATTATTTTTAATTTGCTGTGAATATTGAGTGCTTCCAACATAAAATCATTCCTCAATTAAAATAAAACAGCTGTACTCCTATCAGCTTTTCCTTGCTTGTTGTTGCTTACAGATTAGCAGTTGTCATTGGCTTCAATCTCATGTAATTTCATTAATTTGCAACCATAAACGGATAAAAAAAGAAAATAAAAATCTCTGGCTTGTCAATGTACTAAGTATTGTATATAAATTATTTTTTTTTTTCAGATTGCACTGAAAGGGCAGAACTACTGCAGCAACATTTGGGGGATGTCAGACTGTGACAAACCCCATCCGTTCTGTTCTCCAGCATCAGCAAAGCAACTTGTGAGCACTTTGTTCATCTGGCACATTTTATTGCTCTAGAGTCCCTTTCTTGTCTCCCAGGTGACCTGTGCTAAACCAGATCCCCCAAATGTACTCCAGTGCAGAGGGGAAGGACCAATCCTGGGGTGCACAGGTTTGTAGCTGTTTTTTGCTGCAGGATGATTGCTGTTAGCAATTCACTGCTCTTATTTAGAGTTCAGGATATCACCAAGCATGTCTGTGTCTTTGAGTGACACTTGTAACTCTGTGGTTGTCCTTATTTCTCTTCACATAGAACAAAAAGCTGACTGTAAGAGCACGTAGAAGCACAAGAGTTGCAAAAGCTTCTTTTGTAAGCCCAGATGTGAAAGTGTGCTGTATAATTTCTTCTGTTAACTTGTTTTTCTAGTAGGAAGTTCTTAATGGCCTTACAAGGCTTTAAATTGGTCTACCTTGCCTTGTTATCATCTATTATTTTAATGGAAAGTTTAAAAATATAGCTGTGTTAAAGTGTACCGTATATAAGATGTAAGGAACATGCAACAAGAATCACTAATTCTGTGCTTTATATTTTAATAGAAAATAATATTCTCTCGTCTCTCTTGTAGCTTCATAAAATGAAGGTCAGCTGTACTTCTGGCCATTTTTTCTGCAGCTGCTGTTGCAGGTTTCAGTACCTTTAGCTCCTTCTAATTAAAGGCATTTTATCGTAGTGTATTTCTATTTTTTTGTTACCAGTGAGAGCTTTTTGATAGAATCCCTAAGAGAGGACTCGTATTTGTAGGGAGACTGAACACATGGGATTTGAATCCTAAACAGTGAATTCTCTATTACAGGAAGTAAAAGCTTGTGAATATTTTCCTTGGCTCTGAAAGTGGGAGCTGACACTAGCTTATATCAGAGAATTTTAACTAATGATTACAACAATACTTATCTGCTAATTTGTTTCTCCATGTCTGGAATCAGTATGCTAAATATGTGTGAAATTTTTGGAGCTCATGCTAAAATTTCAACTAGCCAAATACTTATCTGCATTTCACTATTATTGAAATAATGATAGTAATAATAATAAATAACAGTAAACACAGTAACTGTTTCTTTTTATGAGTTCAGTCAACTAAAGTAGGAGATCATGGCTTAAGCTGAGCACATTTTCATTATTTTTATAAGTCTAGAGTAATGTTGTTTAACACCAAAGGCTTGTTAGAAAAAAAGCCTGTGTGAGTTTTTTTAATGCTGTATAGGTATCTACATATTTTAAAACTGGATAAGAAGTGCTGATGACCACAGACAATCCTAATACACAGATAAGGTGTGTATGTTATAATCTGTAACAGTATCTACAACAGGACTTGAGCTAATTAATTTATCTCAGTCAATATATCTGTGCAACCTATCATGCTAGGTTTGATGCCAAACTTCTTGGGTGATGTTGAAGAATTTTCCCAGTTGTACAACAAGCATAAGAAAGCTTTCAAATTGTGGGAGAAAATGACAAACAGGAAATTCATATTGCAGGCTTGATTGCTGAATTTCTTGAAATGTAAATTATTATGAGTTGGGATACTGTTATTTACAAATAAACTTAGTTTTTATCAGTTAGTTATCAACAGTCACTGTCAATCACTTTTGTATTTCCTGTTCATATGCTTGAATCTGTTAATGTTTCAAGTTGTCTGTGTTTTGTGCCTTTTTAGTGTTGGAATTATGTTGAGCAATATGATTGCCTGTTTAACAAATGTGATCATTGTTTTTATAAATATATGGAAAGCAGGATATTTTTAAATCACTGAACTTATTTCTGTTTGGCATTGAAGAACAAAGCTCAGAACACTCTCTTAGTGCACTGAGAGAAGCTCAAGTTAAAGGATGGCTCTTATGGAATGAGAGGAGGCTGCAGCATCATTCAAACCTTTCTTGTGCTGCCGAGCTCCTGCCTGAGAGCTCCAGTCAATGCAGTCTCTGGGGATATTCCTGAAGATCCAGCTGCTGTAGCTCTGTGACTTTTTCCCGTTCTCTTTCAAAAAAGATTCATCTCTGCTGTCCATCCTGGTAGTGTCTGGTGCAGACTGGCCTCTGTCCATGCTGCCAGACTGCTTCTGGGCCCCTTGGCACAGGTCAGAATGAAAACCTCATTTTTATTTCTCAGTGGAGAACCATCACCAACTATAAACTGACATATTATTCTTAATTAACAGAGCTGATGCTTCTGTTACTTGACTTTTGTCAAGCAGCTAAACCTTAAACTTACAAAACATTAACATTCCCAGTATGAAAATTGACTTAATGGGAAAAGGGCTCAAATCATAAAAAGAGGAACGAATTATTATATTTCTTTTTTTAGGCCCTTGCAACATATTCATCATCCTTTTCATGCAGTAGACTATTCTTCAAATCACAAGCAGTTTTTAAAACCAAGGTTGAAGTTAATTTTATCATCCAGGTGTCTTAGAAAAAAGTGCCCTCCCTGTTTGGACATTATTTCTCTGTGAGAAGCTATGACTGAGTTTACAGGCTCAGCAAGGCCATAAGTGATTTGCTTTATACAGCTATTCAGTATTGCCCTCCACACCAGTAATCCTTTAGTATAATAAAATACATGTCTTCCCTTCTTTACTAGAAGTTATAGAGAAGTCTTCTGATCATCCAGCTATGAAAAGCACCATGACTGGTTCTGCCCAGAAGCTGCATGAATACATGTGGAGCAGAAAAGTTGCTCTTTATAGCCAGCTGTAAAATTCTTTCAAGCTCTGTGAATGTTCAAGCCTGAGAAGGCTTTTCTCACCAAGATATAGAATAGCTTCAGCATACCAGCCTTCAGCAATGTATATGAGTCAAGATTTCACCCCAAGCCTACACTTTACTGGTGAAACTCAAAGTCAGCCAGCCCGTTTCAAGAAGAAAAATGGCATTTGGTTCCAGTCAGTGTCCACAGAACACACTCCAGATTTGACAAACGTTGTAATTAGTTGCTTTTGTGTGTTTAGTACACAGTGCAAACGCTGTAAAATGTTTTTCACATGATGCAACATTGCCAGCAGATAATCACTGGAGCAGTAAACCAAAAGAATTTGTGTATATCCTACAAGCTGCAGGAGGATAAGAAAATGTAAACAAAAACTAACAGCTGAATTTTTCAGATGATACCATTCCCTTTCCTTTTGTTAAACTGATTTGTTTTTAAATGTTACTTTTTGTCAGTTTTTCTAGAAATTGATTAGAAAACCCTAAACCAATGTTGTGAAAATGCTTTTGTTTCTGTCCTAGTTTTGACTGTGTGAATCTTTTTAGAACATTTTCATTTAATTATGCAGCATTAAAAATTGCAATTAAACTGAATTTGCAATTGAAACTGCTCATTTTAGTTAACTGTCAAATTTACTATGGCGTTGTGAAATAGGGGCCTTTATTATTATGAGGTGTTTTGAAAAAAAATACTTTTTAAACAGGAGAAAAATGTCATATCCCTCAGTCTTATCCCAATGAGCCAAGAATTTAAAGAGATACTCGACCAGTGAAGCTGGTAACTCCAAGCACTGTGGAGTTTCTTCCAGATGGTGTCTTAAAATATTGGTAAACTGCAAGTATAGACAGTATTGAATAAAATCTTCTTTTCGTGTATTTAATATCTCTTGTGAAATGTGTTTTTCAAAGGTAGGTGGAAGGCTTAAGTTGCTTTAAAGTAGTCTAGTGATAATCTACTTGTCTTAGGGATATCTGACATGCCCCGTTTTGCAGGATGCTATGATGCAATTTGATGGATATTGTGTATTATATGAGACTGTACGAATCTTAATATCTCTGTTCCTCTGTTTTAGCATGTGATGTACAGCTCTGTGTACATAGAGCAGCTCAGATGAGTGTCTGAGACTACCCTTTTCCTCTAAGCCCTAGGCATTTTTATCACTGTGCCAATAAAAGGAAGGGGATTTATGGGGTACTGCTTTTTAATTCATTCAATTCTCTGTTCATTGTGAGGTTAATGTTGTTGATCTATTTTTCTCTTGAAACAAATAAAAACAATATGTGCTGACACTGACTTTGACTTTTGACATGGGAGATAGAGGTCAACATTTAATTCTATATTTATAGACTACATGAACAATATTATCTGTATTAAAAACTGTTCACTCAGTCCTTGTCATTTTACAACTTAGCTCAGTAGCTTATATCACATTGAACGTTTTCTCCAACTCTGATCAAGGTGCCATCATTCACAGCACTTCACTTAAGAGGTTGTCAGCCTTTCCATTAAAAACACCTTTTTTTCAGGGGTTCATAACTTGACTATCTAAAAAATTACACCAAGACTGACCTGGGGCTTTATTTTAAGCAAAATAGCCATAAAAATATAGCCCGGTCCCAGAACCCAAAACGCAAAAAAGAACCCAAATAAAGAGAGGAGTTGACTTGTAAGGCACGTATACAATGGCTATTTTTATTTAAGAAAATTATGTGATTTATCAAGGAGGTAAAACACTGCTTAAATATTTAACCATTTCTTTAGATCTGAAATATTCTTGGCTCTGTATAAGAGGTGCTTGTCTGTCAACTTTTAGGTGCTTCATGCCCAAACTACTCAGAAATTGGGTACCAGTGACACAGTTAATGATGTGATGATTGTAACCAGTGTGTCAGGTACACCTGTACCTGTAAAAGCCTCCTCACAGAGGAACTTACGCTTCTGGGGGGCTTTGTCCTTCTCAAATGAAAATAAGAAATTTTCCTTTTCAGGAAAGGTGAAGGAAGGACAATCCTGTTTTATTTTAGTGGATACAGAAGTACTACAGTTTTGCATGGGCACTCCTTGGGATATGGAAAAGGACTTTCAGATCAGGTAAAGTGATTTCACTGAGACAAATCTTTCGACTTTCTGTGCTGTTCTGACATTCCTGGGTGTAAGGGCCTTTGCTGATTTTTAGGAGCTAAGGGCTGGCACGTGCAAATGTTCTTCTATTTCTGATTGCAGGATGAAGGCCTGTGCTGTACCTTTATACTCAGGAAAGAAACTGAGCTATCAATGCAATTATTATTAATCTGCACTTGTTTTCAGAGATTATCCAATCTTCTTTGAATCAATGGCAAGAAATATGAGACTAAAGTTGTCTTTTTATGCAAACAACCAGTAATATTTTCCACTGGCCGCTTTTTTAATCTAGATATATATTTCCTTGGTAATAAGAAGAACAAACAAAATGGAATAACCCATACGGTCTAATCTATGTGTTTTTAAAATATCTTAACATGTATCATATTTATGTTAAAAAACCTCCTAAAATAGCTATTGCAATCTGTAAGTTTTTGAAATATGTGAGGTTTTATATTAATATGCATATACATTGGTCCATATTAACTGCCAAGGTATTTTAAGCAAGGTTTATAGAAATTATTGTGCATTTTTAAAGTGTTCTGTAATTCATATATCATTCTTGGAAAGCAGAGAATCTGCCACATTTTGTATGTGACTGTCTTAATAAGGGCTGTGAAACTGAAACATTGACTGATCATGTTACATACCAGGCATATCTGAAAAGTTTTTCATTAAAATGAACTCGTAAAGACTCTTAGTGCTTGCTTCTCAGCAGATGGCAAGAGGTGTTTATTTGCCTTATGGAATTCTTTCTGTTTATATACAGAGAAACAGAGAGGACAGCTCTGAAGGTTCTGGTTAGTACTTGTAGGAGTATTTAAAATATATATATGGTTACTATTAGCACTAAAAGTTCAGTTATACACTCCTTTTTTAACTAGTTCTACCTTTGCATTAAAACTGTTCCAAATATTAGACTTGGAAAAAACAGAAATATATCTTCTGGCTGTGGAACCTAGTGTGATAAAGATTTTAATATAAGGGCTTTTTAAAGTCAGATCTTTTCCATTCTGTGTCTTTCCTTCTGTCTGCTTGATTTGCTGTTAAATAGCTCCTGCTCTATTTCTGGCACTTAGGAACTTTATTTCTCTTTTCTTGTCCTTTTTCTTTCCATCTGTTTGCTGGTTTCATTGTTTCTTAGCTGCCGTTCCCCATCAGTATGTCCTTCAATCTGCAAATCCTCTCCCATATGTGCTCTTCCCTAGGCCTCCTGCCTTTTGATTTTTTCCAGATCTCATTTCCTTTTCACCTGATCTGGCTTTATTCAACTCTGCTCTTGTCTATCTTTCAGCCTGTCTCAGGCTTCCCTTTTTCCTTCTGTCCAGTTGTGAATCCATAAACTAAACAAGACTTTGGCAGAAGAAGTCAACAAATGTGGTGTTCAGACCAGAGCTTGACAGCTGGAAAAGGAAAAGGGGGATGCAAAAGCCAAACTTTTGATTAGACTGGTGTGAATACTTTTTAATGAACAAAACATTCATTGGATGTAACCTCTACTGCTTTCAAAGTTTCCTGCAACAGATTGAGACATTCTGTATTTTATGTAGTTAATATTATTTATGATTTTTATTTGAACATATTCCTGATATGTTTGTAACAGTTTATGCTAAGAACCATGCTTTGTACTGTCTTGGGCATTTGCAAGGATATAAAATGTTATTATTTGAATTTCTGGCTTGGGTGAATTACAGAATTAGGAATTGCGCAGATTGGAGACTTCATCAGTATAAAATTAAAAATTCATAATTATAGTTAGGAAATTGAAATTTAATTTAAGGTGTGATTTGAAGTTAGAATTTGTTTTTTCTAGAAAGATTTAAAGAACTGCCAAATATTATCACATCAAATGACATTTTAAGTCGGAACGGACCAAATGTCAGTTATTTTTGCCAAATTCCTCTAAAATTCCTGAACAAGTAATCTTACTAATTTGCAGACTGCCTGCTCTCTCTAAGTTTGGTACCTTGCATCTGTGCTAAGCAAAAAAAGAGCTTTAAGTATTTGACTAGGTTGAGTTTTGGGTTCTTTGCTGTGCTGCTTTACTGAGGAGGGATGCAGCACTTTTGCAGAGTGCCTGCACGGTGGGAGTGTCAGCACATTTACACGGGTTAGGGTCCATTAGGAGCACATGCACCTGTGATAGCAAGCGTATTGAGACAGTGTTCCCCCAACCTGAAAATATCAAAAATAGAGACAGGCTGAGTTTTGAATGGAAGACTAAAAGGCTAATCTGATAATTGCATACTCTGTCCACAACCCCCTGGTTAAAGAGTGTCCCCTTCACCTGAAACCACTTCAAAATGCCTGGTCTTGTTTTAAATAAGTAAAGTTAAAACCCTAACATTGTTTCTATGATAACAGCGTTTTACTTACAGCTCCCAATTAAAAAATTAATTCCCCAGTCTGAAGGCGTCAGACTGGATTACATTCTTTGTTAAAGGAAAAAAGAAAGAATCTTCTGTCTGGTGACCTTTATTTTGGCTGAAGGCTAATAGAAATAGACATCGAGCTCTAGAGAGAAAATTCTCCGAGGAAATGTGCATACTGATATTACTTTATTTACATTATTGTTTTCTAATTCAAATAAGAGTGCTGCTTTTGGGGCTATGTACATGATTTCCCTGCATGGCTTTGTAGCTGAAGCTCTTTTAGCCCCTGCCAGCAGCTGTGGCTTTGGTGGGTGTTGGGGCAGTTCTTTCTGCCTGTCTCTCATGGCAGCCCCTCTGAAGGGGCTGGGGCTGCTTCTCTTGCAGCTGCTTCCCCAGCACACTCTGCTGGGCCTGTCCTGGATGGATGCTCTCAGCCTGATGTTTGTGTGTTGTTCTGTGCCACAGGGGTTTTATCCTGGGTTATATTGCCTGGGTTGCAGCCAGTGCCCTGTGCTGCTGTGTGAGTGCAGAGCAAAGGACACAGGGCAGGCTCAGAGCTCCTGAGCAGAACCGATGTGGTGGCAGGGACAGAACCTCATCCCTGCACAGCTGTGACAGAGAATGGAGAGACAGAGCTGCAGGAGATTGTTAGAAGCTGCTGGTCAGAGGGAAGCAAAGGAAGAGATCTGTCTGGAAGGACAAAGTGGATTAAGTGAATAAAGTGAATAAAGTCTTGTCTAAGGGTCCCTCCTATGGCGTATGTTTGGGTGTAGCCACATATGAGTTCACAGCTCTGCTCTGGTGCCCATTTTAACATGTGCAGGCAGATTCACACCTGAGTTTCACCCATCTGCATCGTAGAGGAGTTTGAGTGGAATAACAGCTAGATCAGATTTCTGGGATTTGCACAGGGAAGTGCTCTTCCACATCAGTATTGATTCCCATCCTTGAGACAGAGGCTCTCCTCTGTTATAGCAATGCCATAGGAGTTCCCTCTTGGAGTGCCTGAGCAGTCTACATTGTGCCATACCTTGCTGGCTTGTGAACTCCTCTTGCCCATGTGCAGGTGAGCACTGTGTCTCACTTATCAATGCTGCATCCAGACACAGATAGTAAATGTTTTTCACTGGATTGTGTTGGTTTTTTTTTTAATTTTTAAATTACACTTACAGCTCTGGGGTAGAGAAGCCTTGGCTGGGAAAGTTCATTTTTCCTCTATTCTGGAGCAAAACCAAGAGAACTTTGATGTTTTTCTGTTTTGCAGGCTATCCCAGTGGCCTTACTCTTGAAGAAGAGGAGAGCACAATGAATATTCTCTTTTGCATCTAGAATGAAAAGTGAGCACATGCCTTCTGACTGGCAGCACCAGTGCTTTCCTGGCTGATGATGCAGGGACACTGAGCTTGCTTTAAGGCAATTCAGTAATTTCCCTGGAACAGCATACTTTCAGGGATGGAAGATCTGCAATGAAATATACTTTGTCTAGAGAATGCTTTATTGCTCTCTGCCTAACAACAGCCCCTCACATGGAACTTGCCTGTAAGTGTGCTGTGTTACATCCATTTACTTCAGTTTTTACTCCTGTGAAGGAGAAGAGGAGGAGATAAGAAGTACTGTTAGGAGTCTGGTATCTGTTACTATTTGTTATGAAGTTTCTGTCTGCTAGGACATTGTTTGCCCATCTTAACTGGTAATGTTCCTCAAAAACTCAAAAAAACTACCACAACAGTAATGAATCTTTGCTGATGGATATCAGATGTTTTTCTGGGGTTTAAAAGAGCCTAAAAGAAATCAAATTATTCAATCTTCAGAAGAGTTAACAGGTGTTCATATCAGAGAGGTAATGAAATATTGCCTCAGGTAGGGAAATAGTGCTGTAGTGCACCAGTAAATCAGAATACTCTTGTTCTGAGCTGAATGAACTTGCTTTCAGTAGTTCAGCATATCTTTGTTTATAAATCTAAATGCTATTGTGTTGTATTGTACTTTGCAGTGTAATAAATTGTAACATTCAACATTAACTGGTCAGGCTTCAGTGATAACAAAAGTTCAGCAGGCTGGTGGCACTCTGATCAATATTGCCTTCTATTTATAGTATTCTTACAAATTGAAGTTTTATTTAAATTAGACAATGCTGAGAAGCCCACAGTGGATCAATAAACTAAAATACAGTAACGGATTTTAATTCATGGCTGATATGCTGCTAGTCTTTTGTCACATGCATCCTTAATGTCCCCTAAACAAAATCACATTTACATATCCTGTTGTCTGGTAAATCTGCAAGACTGCTTTAAAGAAGGAAGCTTGTGCTGTGCAATGAGCAGGAAAGATGTTGGATAGGAGGGGAAAAGGCCAGACAGACACCTTCTGTTTGGTTGGGGATTTTTGTGTGCTTGTTTTGTTGTTTTTTTATTCAATGAATCAGTTTAACCTGAACTATATTTGGTATACACAATATAGATGGTGCTCGTGCTTGGATTATACTCTGTTACTCACACCAACATTTCTCCAATGATAGCAGAACTGTTTTTCTGTTACTTCATCTCTGTTATGAGATTAGATTGTAGTTAATATGATATATCTTGTTCTT